TAAGGATATAAAACAATCCTAGAATGAAAATATTGCCAAATAATAGATATAACGGTGATGTAGTTGCTGTAGTGGCAGAATTTTATCGAGTTGACAGTCCTTGGCCGGAAAAAATCCGTGTCCGTTCCGGTTACGTAGACCCGACTGTTATGGGAACGGATATAACGGTGATCTCTGTTTGTGTTCGGTCGGAAATAAAGATTTAACTGAAATCTTAGCACAATAATTATAATTAAATAATAAAAACATTTAAAAAAAATTAAATAAAAAATACTAAAACATTAATTTATTTAATTTAATATCTTTTTTAAATTAAATATTTTACTGAAATAATAGCTTAAAAATTTAAACTTTAATTTAAAATAAAATTAAATAGTTTATTAATATTAAAGATTTCACTAAAATAATGCTATAAAATATATTTTAAAAAATACAAAAACTAAAATTAATTTTGAAAATTCCAGCAATTCAAATTAAAACATTAAAAAAAATATACATATAAACAAAATTTAAAAACTGAAACAAAAAATAAAAAGTAAAAAATCAAACATTAAAAGTCAAACAACACATAACAATTTTTTTTAAACTTAATTTTTTGTTGTTGTTGATATGTAATTTTTTAAATTAAATATATGCAGCTGGTTCCCGAGTTAAATGAAATCAAAATCAATGAATATACTCAAACCATTTTTTTTGTTATCAAATAAGTTTCTGTTTATTACATGAATATTGTTACAAGTCAATCAAATACACCCATTAAATATTAAATATCATTGTAAAACAGTTCATTTCCTTACTGGGAGAACGCTAATATTTCCACAGAGTCGCGCAACGATTAAAGCACCCACAACACAAATGTAAATACATAAAACCATGCATAAGAAGTGCACTCACATATGTGAGTATGTATTTCCCATATGCCGCTAGTTGATTTGAAAAGCAAGTGAGCTTATGGTGCAACATGCAGCTGCGCTTGTGTGGGAGAAAGCATCCGCCAGATAAAAACGAAAAGCGAAATCGGAGAAAAGAACAGCGCCGCCACAACAATGACTTGCGAGTACAAACAAAACAATGCAACAACATTACAACAACAAAAACTGTGACATACGAGTAAATACAGTGAACGGAAAGAGTATTAGCAGTCAAATATTTGTATATACATACATACATGCATATAGTAGTAATAAATAAATAATTATGTGCATGTGCATATACATATGTTAGTGCATAAATATGCATGTATGGGTTATGTAAGCCACTGCATAGCGCTGCTGCAGTCATTCACCTCACTGTCAGCACCTCAATGCAGCATAGTGGGGAAAAGATTTGAGGGTTCAAGGATGGACCCCCACAGAGAAATAAAGGATTCAACAGTTAAACTTTCAATCAAAACGCACTTCAAGAGTTTGGTCGTGTTGTAGTCTTAGTAGACAGCACTAGATAATAGAGCTAATCCAATAGTTCAGTTATAGAACCGATATAAGAAATGTTGACTGTAGCTTTCTGCGCTTCGGGTAAAGGTCACCATAAACGACGTGAGCTTCATTTAATTTATACATATTTAGGTACCACTTTTCATTCTAACTGAATTTTTTCCTATCATATTTATGTCACACCTCACAAAATTCCCACCGCAATGTGCCTCCAATATGCTGCACTCTGTCAACCCGGCATGCCGTAGGGCAGACGTTCACAATGTAATACTTGTGCAGTGCTGTGGAGCGCAATTACCGACGTCAGTATGCCTTTTTATTGCTCTTCTATTTGTTTCGGCTACTAAGCAACACGAACATATGCGAAGCAGTAAGAAATCAAAAGGAAAATCCACCACAATGCAAGTAAGTGCCATTAGCGGAAGTGCAATGCCGCTAGTTGCGGTTTACGAAAGGGGCACGTAGGAGGACACATGAAACCATACAACTCGTTTAAGTTTACTAGCAGTCAGACTAAAAGTGACTGACTGACTCACTAGCTCTTGTTTCACCTAGAGCCAATGATGCCTGTATATACGAGTACACTATATATATACAAGTACATACATATGTAAAAGTGTGGAAATAATTATGGTAATGGCCACAAAATGCGACTAAGCTGCCGTAAGCGAGCATAAACAATCGTCTGTATGTACGAGTACACGCCTGTTGCAACATGCCATGTCAAAGTGCAACGTCACAATAGCTTAAATAGCTTTAGATTGTTGCATTCTTCTCAAACTTTTAAATATTCTATTTCTTTTTTTACCTTTTATTTTATCTTTTGTAGTTTGACCTGAAAGAAAGCAGTTCGTTAAACAAGCGATGGTAATTTTAATGCGAAATTGTCGGATAAGATCTACCAAGTATAAAGTAAAATATATGTAGTATAGTAAGGTCAGGTATATAGTCACTTAAAACTTTAAACACGTTTTTCTCGAAACTGTGTTTTTAAAGTCGGTTGTCACGATTTCTCACGAACTACTCAACTGATCTTTATGAAATTAGACACAGGTATGTAAGATATAATATACAAAGTCTTGCACGAAGGATTGTTTGTGTTTCTTTACAACTATTTAAAAAAACTAAAAACATCGAGAAATTTTCACCAAAATTTGAATTCTTTTTCTTTGTAAAAACATCTGCCAAAAATACAACTTTCACTTTATTTGTTTTTTCTCCGTCCACTACCTAGTTATTGGTCTTAGTTCAAACACGTATGTTTGATTTTTTTTATCTTTGGTGATCCTGTCAGCATTTCTGGTGTCAAAGCGGAAGCACTTTTTTCCCAGGGCCTGACGGAAACGAGTTTTGAATATTTTTCTTTGAAAATTTCACAAAATCTTTATCAAATATGTATCCTTGGAATAATAAACAGTTTGAATAAAATATTTTGTTTATTGTATGAAAAAAAAATCAGTGAAAATCGGGCGTTTTTTACTCGACGAAACCCATGTAACCGCTTTAATTCGGTTCCACCGAAGCTATAATACCCTTCACAAAAAAAGGTTCCTTAGCAGAACTTGATTCCGATTGTTCAGTTTGTATGCTAGTTATATGCTATAGTAGTCCGATATCCGCCGTTCCAATAATGAGCAGCTTCTTGGTGGGAAAAGGCCAGGTGATCGTATATATAAAGACTGGCAGACAGACGGACATTGCGAAATCGACTCAGCTCATCATGTTGATCATTTATATATATATTTTATAAGGTTTCCGACGTTTCTTTCTGTGTTTTAAAAACTTCGTACTAAACTTAATACGAGTACACCCTGTTCAGGGTATAATAATAGGAATAAGTGACAATAAATCGGGTGGTAGGGAGAGTCTTTTCGGCAAAATTAGATACTTCCATCTACCAGACCACTACAGCGTATTCCAAGCAGAGATCACAGCAATTAAAGAAATGCTTTCTTGTTCTGACAAGGAGTATGTTGTACAGATAGCCTAGCGGCTGTGAATTCACTAAAGTCTCTTAGGGTTCTAACATACTATTTAAAAATCTGCAATGAGTTCCAGGATATAGTGATATCCCTGGTAACTGTGAAGCAGATGAACTAGAAAGAGCCGGCACTACCCCTACAATTAGACTCCGGAAAAGAGGGAATTTATATGCCTCTGACCACTTGTAGATTTTAATCGACAAACATATCGGTAAGTATCGGTGAAGTGATTTACTCAACAAGCAGGCAAATGTGGCATGATTAGAATTTGGGCCGTACATGACTACTATTGAAATTTCGAAAGGAATGGCATAAGAACTCTAATTGGCAGATAAGCCAGCAGACTAAAAACACCATATAAGACTATTGTAGAAGCTGAGGTAGAAGAAGAAGAGAATATCATCTATGCTTATGCAATGCTTTATAGATTAATGATTAAAAGAACGTTCTGTGAAATCACATAGCAGAAAAGTAAAACTATAAAAGCTTTTACTGCTAGCAAGCCACTCCTATCATCACCAAAGGAATTCCCAGCAAATCTAAGACTCAAAAAGCCCATCGTTTCTTGAAATTTTTTGTTCTTACTCATTGTTTTTCAATTACTATATCGTGACGTATCATAAATACGGTTTTTAATTCCGTAGAACGTTTTATAGAATCTTTTTTAAAAGAAATTCATTGGTTGATTACAATATAAATAGTGCAAAAACAAGTTTTTTCTGAAAATTGGATAAATTTTGTTCGAGAGTTTGAATGCTAAGTAAAAATAATCATAATTCTTCCGTTTTTCGAAGTTGACCCCCGAAATCCAAATATTTGTATACAAATTTAGAAATTAGGGTTTTTCAAAAACATTATTTTTAATTACAGTAAGCAGTTGCAAAAAAATTTAAAATATGGATCGAATGTACTTTTATCACTTCTATTAATGTTACAGCTATAACATATTTAAAACAATTAAAATTTTTTCATTTCAAAAACACTGTCTCAATGATGTTGACCACTAGTAACATTTGGTTTATAAGCTTGACCGAAAATGTTAGAAATAGAGGTCAACGTGGATGATTTTTTGGAAACTTAATGCTGTAATTACTTATGATGTCTTCAATAAGTCCAATCTCAAAATTCGAAGATAATAAGAGGCTTGATATTGAATACTAATTTCTAAAAACGGAGAAAAAACTTTTTTTTCAATCTTTCCAAAAAGTTTGGTTTCGCCAGGCAAACTGTCCGGATCAAATTTGATTTTAAGTGTACACTATTGTTTTGTTTTTCAGTACAGCATATTTTTGTTACATAATGTGAAAATTTTAATCACTCCTGTTTCAACAAGCTCTTATTATATTCTGCTAATTGCCACTCTTTGGAAGGCAATTTCGAAAATTCCATTTAAGTACACATTCTCAACTACTAAGAAATAATAATTACTAAATTTTAATTTTACGGCAGTTGGAAAACGTTCAAAAACGTTGATCAGATTATTATTAGTATTATTATATATTTTTACTGTTGTTTTTTTTTTTCAAAAACTGTATTATTATTCTTCTTTTATTTGATTCTAAAAATATATCCTTCAAACACTTACCTAAAAAATAGCGTAATACCGTGAAAATTTAGGCTTTTTTAGCCATTAAACGCCAAAAAAACAACAACATTCACAGTAATTCCAACAAATAATTTAAATATTTATTTTATACTCAAACAAATGAAACAAAGGCACAGATATTCAGAGACGCGCACTAATAAAAATAAACACTTTTTTCGGCACTTCGTAGAAAAACTTTTTCGGCAGCTTTTGGTTGCTATTTTTTCACACACTAATCAGGGACAGGAGCTGTGGCTGTCCTGCTATATGTATAATTCTTACACACAACGACAAACAGTAGTCAGAAAACAAATATTTTTAATTTTCAATAATTTGCCTAAACTCGTACTTGCCACATATTCAACACACTTTTTTTTAAAATAAAAGTCTTGCAAGTAAATGTTTGCTCATAACTATAAATTTTCCAAATATTTTAACGAACATTTTTTTGTTTTACATTAAAATGATCTTTAATCTTTTAGATAACGCACCGTGTTTTCGGTATTTGAGCACCGCGTTGCCCGGCGTTTTCTTCGTATCTGCAGAAGCTGGATGCAGCCGTCAAGCTGCTAAGCAACCAGTAGATGCTAAATGCTGAGTTAGCGATGCTAAGATCAGAAGCAACGCCAGAAGTGATCAACAGTGAGAGCGACAGCGCGCTCAGCAACAAATTCAACAGAGCGACAAGTACTCTGCGCGCATTTGTGATATGTGGTGAAGATCACTTGTTCACTGCTGGTATGCTGTACGCTCTTATTGTGTTTTTCTTTTTCTCTTAAACGGTATGAATGCTACTCTTTACACAAAGCTAACAAGTCGCGAAAGGATCTTCGTGGCTGTCAGCAGGATATTATCGCGAGTTCTTCTTCTTCTTACTCGTCTTCTTCTTCCTCTACTCGTTATATTAAATTAGCTTTCCGTGTTTTGTGCTCGGAAGTGTGACAACTTTCTGGCACCACGGCTACCGACTTACAATTGAACAATTTACCGCTACTGTTAATCGATTTTATAAAGGTATTGGTTAGTGAGGCTTCCTACTGATAGCGCTTAATCGAGCGATTAACATAATGATTATACATACAGCTATTATCCAAATAATAGGAGTGCTGTTGCAGACCTTCTTCTCTGCGAAGTAATTATATATTTATTGTTTTATTTTCTATTTTCATCTAATTTCCTTGAATATGTGTGCAAATCATGAAGTCTCTTAATTTTTGCCTTTGCCTTTATTTTTTTGTTCCCATTAATTTACGAATTTCTATTTTTTTATTAACTCGCGGACGAATCATTTGATTTTAAGGAAACAGGCCAGTACAGGAACTAGTTTAGTGTGATATTTTTTTGATTTTAAGAAAAAATTTACCACATTAATGTATATATTTTTTGTACCATCAGAAAGTAGAGACTTTAATAAACATAAAGTCTACTGACTTTTTAAAAAAATCTGATATTCTGACGAGCGAATTTTCAATTGAAAAATAGGGGTTTTTCGATATTAAGTAAAAATCAAGAGAAGAGCTACATATTTAAAATAATACATAATAAAACATAGTGTATTTGGGACATAAAAAGATAAGTTTACACCAAATTTCGTGTAGTACAAGATACAAATCAAAAACCCAAAAACTTGTTTATATGAAATTTTCACATAAATTTTGAGGTTATGTGAAAAAAGTGTTAATAAAAAAGTTGTAGATCTTTTTATTACCTATTAATTTTAATTCAATAATCAATTTTAAGTGAAAAAACGAAGAATGTACAAAATTTTATCCAGAGCGAAGTTTCGATGCTACGAAATGCTGTTAAATATGCACCAAGCCGCGAAACCGAGGCGGTCGACTACGAGTGACATCAAATAAACTTGCTATTCGTATAACTATATAAACGAGGCCACAACTTTTCTCAATTAAAACAAAAAGAAGAGATGACCTAAGCGTTGGTTCAACTATCCAAACTATTAGCCGACCAATTAATTATAGCCCGAGGAAAATTCATACAAAGAAACACCATTAGCGTTAGCTGGTCACAATCTAAAATTCTTCTGTTTTGATGTTCTATTTGTTCGTCAGTATATGAAAATACCACCTAAAACCGAATTAAATCTAAAACATTGCAAAAATACTGTTAAATATGGAAAAACCCATAAGGGTTTCCTACAACGGCGTATAATCAGTACCCTGATTCAAGGATGTTGTGGATCGGCCCGGTTATGTTAAAATTATCTCGGAAACTATGCTAACCCATGCGATGCAATTCTATTGGTTAGGATCTTCCAGCAAGATATTGACCCAAAGCTTACAAAGAAAGCGGAAAAGAAGTGGTTCTTATGACTCGCCCAGTATTCCGATCACAATCTGGACGAAAATATATAAATAGACATAAAAAGCAAATCGCTATTAAGACTCTCACAAATATAAACGAGCTTTGGGAGACAAGCTTCTAGTTCAATTCGCCCACAAAGCCGTAAAAAATTGGTGGCATCAATGTCCAGCCGCTGTCGAAACAATCAAGTCACTTACAAAATTGTTTTTTCTACATTATCCATGAAAGCAATTTGCACTCCTATTATTTTGATAACAGCTGTACATACATATTTAGTTCCTGCGCCAGTAGCAAGAGGCGCAGAAGTATGAGAGGAGCATTATGCGGCATTTAATTATAGTAGAAGACGAAAATTTAAAAAAAAAAAACAATTAATATCGCTTATTACGCTTATAAAAATTGTCACGCACAATTTCATGTTTCTGCAATTAAAACAACAAAGACTACTAGTGCAATAAACGCAGGAAATTGAAAATAGTAGTATGAATTTTTAAAAGCAGTTTATATATCTACACCGAAGCACATATTTATGTATGTGTATGTACGAGTACTTATAGCTAAATTTTTGGAGTATACAAAACCCGAAATATATTCGTAAAATTAACGAATGACTTCATGAACTTATGTAGACATAAGTACAATCATATATAATAAATGTTTTATAGTAGCCGGAAAAGAATAAATTTCAAGCGCCGAGCTGTCGTTTTCACATAAATAGAGGGTGTCTCTATATGTTATTGCAAAAAATAAATGTTTATATTTATACTCCGAACAGTATATATTAAATTTGCCAAGAAGTTTTGTATATGGTATATGCGAACTAGTCGCTATGTTTTTAAAATATCGATAAGAAATTTTTCACACGTCCCCAAAAAGCTGCGTATTATTATAATATATCGGACCACTTGGGATATAACTGTCATACAATCTGATTGATCAAAATTAAGTTCTTACATGAAAAACTTTTTTTTTTATTTGACAAGTTATATTTATGAAATTTGGCTGAAATCACTGAAGGCCATCACAGCTGAGATTTACAGCAAGTATATGAAAAATTGGATAAGCGTTGGTATGTTTGTATAGCTCAAAAGAAGCCTATTTTAAAGACAAAAACAAAGATTTGTATTTAAATGCTTGAAAATGTAGTTTTTTTTTTTGTTACACCGGGTCAGATCAGGTGGTAAAATACTTTCGTTTCCACATTTTGGAACACCCTATACAAGTAAAAGATGGCAATTGGATTAAAGTTATAAAGGTTGAAAAGTCGATACAAAATTACAATTTTTATTGACTTTTTTATCATAAACCAAATAAATTGATTGCCAGGATCTACGAAGACGTACTTGCTATTCGAAAAAAAATTGCGATCATAAAAGACATGGATATATCAAACAACCCTCATAATGATAAAATTAAATTTAAGAAATATACATTCATATAGCGTTTTGAAAATATTTGTTGTTAATCACTTTTGAATAAATTTTACCTTTGGCCCAACTCTCCAAATGAAATTTCTCTCTTAAGTAAACAAAAGAAAGCACAAAACATTATCAAATAATTATAAGCCAGCTCACTTATAAAGGCTTGCGGCTTTCAAATACATATATTTATATTCCTCTTAAGCTGTTATGTTATATTGAATCCAAGCAATGACCAATAATTGAGCGAGCAACAAAAATAAATAAACAAAAATTTAACCAAATGCATTCAACCGCAACGGATGGTTGAATGTTTAATTTAATTTACAAGCAAAATAAAACGTACTTTAATGTCACTTTGCAAATAACTGAACTCTTTACCCATCGCTGTCAGTAAGTGCTCCGATTACTATGAGAGGTACAGTGTGTTATTTTATAATTTGTCAGAAATTTTCTCTTGTCTTAACTTTGGACTATTCGACCTCTTTATGATATAGTAGACTAAGTTAAATGCTGTTGCGGATGTAGTATGACCACTTTTCAAAAACAAAATGTCCGTTAAGCAATTTGAAGCTTTTCTGAATACACTGAAGTCAGAAGAAATTAAGCTAGTCTCCCAAGTGGGCTTCTCCTTTAAACAGCAATTCCATAAACCTTCTAGTGGACAGCCAAGGCACCACTAAATTTCACTGTGTCGGTTATGCAAGCAGGCAAAACTAGACTCTCTAGGCAGCTACTCTTAAGATTCCCTTCAGAAAATTGGACAAAGGATTCGGCGAGGGCAGAGCGCATGCGCGGGACACTGGAACAGTATCTTTGCGAATGCCCAGCCTGAGGCGAAGGCGGATATATTCCACGGCACCCAATGCTCAATGTTTCTTACCAAATCCATTGAATTGCTCGATAAGGCTTAATTCGCTTACCACCAGGGATTGTCTCTGTCATAATACTAGTTAAAGCAGCTCAGAAACAGTACATGTATAGTTCTTCTATCGCAGATGAGTAAAGATCTCAAATTTTTTCTTCTTGTTTGTCGCATACGTCGAGATTCAGCTTCAGTTTAAAATAGTTTACTACAAAGAGAGGATATAAGTTTGATTTCAAGATTGATTAAATTTTTTTCCGTTACCAAAGGTTCTAAGCTAATCGAAATTATCATTAAGATTGGCATAGAAACCCTGAGATACTCTGGTTCTCTTATCACTTTGTAGAAATAATATATATGCTTACTTCATATATTGTACACAGGTTTTAAAGTGGACTGCGCACTGCACTATAGGCTGAAAAGCATTGGACTCGTAAAGAATTTAAGCTATGAGAACTTTAACCTAAACAATTTCACATAGAATATTTAATGAGCTACTATTTTTTTCTCTGCTGCATTTGCTCACTAACAGACCACTGTGCGGCATTTAATTTCACAGTAATTTACACAGCCGCTATTTGATGTGCAGTGAACATTGAAATTTGATTGCACAAACAAATGTAAATCGAAAATTTTCGAAATAAATGTCAAAAATAAACAACAACAAATGGCGATATAAACAAAAGCACCAACGAACGATGATGCAACAATACTAATTGTGGGTGGGAAAAGGATTGGTCAGTTCGCGGGCAAGCCGGTCGAGAATTCAATTGAAATAAATACTTAGGAAAACACAAACAGCGGAAAATCAATGCGAAATTTTAATAAAAGAATCTAAACAAGTGCAACGTAAACATGTGGGAGTGGCTGACTCAATTTACAAACGAATGCAGTGAATACAATTGTCGCACGTTCGCAGTAATGAGCGACCCTAATGTGAATATTCTTCGACGTTGACAAGTACATACATCTGTAGATAGATAGATGTATGAGTCTGTAGAGCAAACGAATTGTGGCGTTGATGAGTGTAGCGCATTTCTATCAGCCACTAGCTTCACACAGTCAGTGCAAAAACGCGTATTACAACGAAAGGTTTATGCAGCGCGTTGTAAAAATTCAACGATACTCTCCTACATAAGTATATATCAGTGTGGCGGTAGAAGAAATAATAAATGGTGACAAAAACGAAAGAAACTTAAAACAAAAACATTTAAATATTGCGAGCCTCTAAAAAAATTTATATAGAAAGACAAAAACTCAGAATGAGAAATTGAAGTCGGTAAAAATCTACGTTTCCCAAGAAATTAAAAACTATATCAACTTTATTTTACACGTAAAATATAATTATGTAAAAT